CGGGTCTGGGATGCAAACCGTGGTCGACTATGTGGGAGTCCAGCGACATAGCCATTACGCTAAGTGCTGGTTCCCTATTTTTTTTCTTGTAAAGAATTAAAAGTATACAAAAGTAGCATTCATATCCTCCTCAAAATCTCAACAGACCTGCTAGAGAGCAACAGGAGAAGCCCTTTCAAAGGGAGTTTGGGGAGGACTTTCCAAGGAGATGATGTCCCGGTGGGTGTTTATTCATTTACTCTTTCAACATTGGCTGAGTATCTACTGCTATCCAGGTACTTCCCAGGTGTTGGATCTGCTCCTGCTGAGGACAGTTCTCACTTTTGGAGAGCCCTGGACTTTATTTCCCGTGGGCCTCCCATGTGATTCAACATGCTCATGTCATTGTCTTGGCAGGGAGAAACTCTGGGCAGCAGACAGAAAGCCAGGTCAGAAGTCAGGGGCGGGGTTGTGCCACCTCCCTGCTGTGCCGTGACTGAGTCCCCGGTCATGGGGCATTATGCTCATGTGTGATACAGAAGGAGACCTGATGACCTCTCAAAGATCTGCTGGCCCTAATATTCCAATACCCTATGGCCTGTTGGACAAGAATGTGTCTGATGGGGTGATCTGGTTAAGAAAGAAGGGGGTGTTGTTGATTTTCTTTTTTGTTTTTAATTTTTTTCCTTTTTTAAAAAACTAAATTAACTTAAAATATTTTACAATAGAAGTGTAATTATTTTTTTGAGAGGTTTTTGCTATAGGGCGAGTGCACTCACCAGACAGACAGAGAGAGACATAGAGACAGAAAGTGAGAAATCACCCCCTAGGGGGAATGACCACACCGCAATCCCTTCTCCTCCATTCTCCTCTCGGGATCCTGGGCACGCACGCACATGCACCCGGCGTGAGTTTAAGCCACCGGGTTCGAGACTCGAACCGTGGTCGACTATGTGGGAGTCCAGCGACAAAGCCATTACACTAACTTCTGGTCCCAATAGAAGTGTAAATTTATTTTGGTACAGAAACTTTTTGAAATTCATACATAATTTTCCCATTACACGTATTTCCATAAGCTTTTTTTTCAAACTTTTCAAAATTAATTAATTTACATTAATTCCATAAGCATTGTCACAGCATACAACATGTGATTTCCCATCCATAATATACTGCATAGTGACTTAATTATGCATGCTATTGTCAATAATTTTCCATTTCTAGTTTTAGATATATGTATATGTATGTGTATATATATATATTTTTTTTCTTTTACCCCTAATTCTGATCCTCTGCACTTTCCCACACTCCTCCCACACTATCTCTGGTGTCTACCATTGTTTTCCATTTCTTCCCCTCCCACACTTTCTTAAATAATCTAACTACTTTCAATAGAAAGTTCAGCTGGTAATTTCAAGAAAAGCAGTTTTAACTTTAATAAACCAAGAAATGCTAAGAAACTTTGCTTAAAAATAGTAGGTACATGAATCTATCGACACATCAAGACAGGACAAAAATCCTTGAAACCAGAAAACAAAGCCTAGAAGAAAATCAGCAATGTTTTAGTCAAGTCATAAAATGCTATTTCACCAGTTCATTCTCGTGTACTTAATCTATCTTCTGTTGTGGTTTGATCTTCCTGATTAAATTCTGGGATATAATATTCAAGTCCAGACTTGTCCTTATAATTAAGTTGGCTGTTTGTTTGTTTGTTTGTTGAACTCTTATTTCTGTGTGTCTTTATTTAATTTTCCTGGTATAGCACTCCTTTGAGAACTTCTTGGAGAACTGGTCTGGTGTTGGTTAATTCTTTCAGGTTTTGTTTATCTGAGAATGTTCTTGTTTTTCTCTTCCCATATGAAGGATCATCTTGCTGGGTACAGTATTCTTGGTTGAAATTGTTTTTCCTTTAACAATTTGAATATATTTTCCCATTCCTTGCCTGCATTGTTTCCAATGAGAGGTCCAATATTAACCTGATGGGATAACCTTTGTAAGTAATTTGATGTTTCTCTCTTGCCAATTTTAGTATCTTGTCTTTGTCTGTGGTTTTCACCAGTCTGGCTAAGATGTGTGAGGCTATAATGTGTCTCTTGGAGAAGATCTTCTTGGGTTGATTCTATTTGAGGTCCTTTGTATTTCTTGGGACTGGATCTTTGAGTGCCTCTCTAGGTTTGGAAAGTCTTCTTGCAGGATTTCATGGAATAGATGACCAATGCCATTATGAGTCTCTTCGCCTTCTGGGAGACCAATTATCTGGATGTTATGATGTTTGATGGTATCTAGTACTTCTCATATATTATCATCATTTTGGGGGA